GCCCAGAGCGCTGCCCGCGCGGCAGCAACATGGCTGTGTCGGAGGGGGGAGAGGCCGGTGGCTAGCCTCCCCAGCCGGGAGCTCACAGGCCAGGCAGGACGGTCCCGCGGGCCGTAGTTTGCCCACCTCTGTTCTAGGCATTTGGGGGGAGAGGGAGATCCAACAGCTGTTGGGTAGCATGTGAGTAGCTTTGATCTGGTGGGAGTCCAGGACTGGAAATCACACCTGCAGGAGTCATTGGTTGCCTGAACTCGCTAAGGTGGTGAGAGAGAGAGAGAGTAGGGAAGAAGCCAAGATTCCTGAACAGCCTATTCAGTCCTTTTGAAAAAGACCATGGGACTTAATAGAGAGTGGTAACTTTCCATAGAATTTTTAAGCCATCCTATAGAATTCTAGAACAAGGGCTATTGTTCTCTGACGTTCTGTAGATTGTCTTAACAGCTCTAGAGAAAGGATCTCACTGTCTGTTAGATTCTATAGAGTTTGAGTAATATCCATGGAGCCCTATCGGTTTAATCACTGTCAAATTCAATAGGGCTTTTCCATAAGTACAGTTTGGACCCCTCCTTCATGAGCGATTAAAGGGTGTGAGCAGTAAAATTTCTCAATGGGCCAGAAGAGAAATCCAAAGGCTCCCTCTGGAATGGTACTTCATTGTGTCCATAGTGTGTTGCTGGCACAGGCTAGCCCAGAGTTTTGTGTTACACTGAATTACCATGCTGGTTCATTTCTCCCCTATGCACATTCGCTGAGATTTCCAATGCCAACATAAACACACAGCCCCCACTGAAGGTAAATGTTTGCTTTGAAAATCTCAGATATTGTTTAGAAATCTAAGTGACAGTAAAGCACATGACAGTGCTGACAATTGCGAGGGGTCTGAGTGATATCTTCTGACCAGCCCACAAAATATGGCCTAATTCTGCAAAATGCCAAATGGCCTTAATTCCCATGGAAGCTAATGGGAGGAGACCAGGTCTGTACCTTGGACCTCCTGTAATGTAATACATGATATTTATTATGTGTCTGCCTTTGGTGTTCTATGTGCTTGGCTTAGAACTAGCAGTGAGCTGCATATAAGGTACAAGCAAGGGCAGGGAGAAGGTAGAAAGATGCCATCTATCCTGTATTAAGTATTGGGCCAGAGATCCTTATTAAATGTGATTAAGGAAGGGATAACTATTCTTAGGTACTTGAAGGTGCAACAAGGGATTGTGTAGGTGCAGGAAAGATTTACATATTAAAACTAAGGAGAGATTCTACTGGGCAGAAGACATTTCTTGAGGGATCACTTTTGCTTCCAGCCATGAGGTCTATGAGAGTTCCACCAGAACAATGACAGTGTCAACCAATAAGCAGAGACCAGTGATAGTGGGAGACTGACCTTCCACTGGAGCTGGGACCAAGCTGTGGAACTCCCTGCTGCAAGAGATGAGAATGACCCTGGAACTGGCCAGTTACAGAAGTGAATGAAAATCTCATTCCATCAACTTATCTTTCCCTCCAATTTTTATACCTGCATGGCCCCCTACACACCTGAACTATAAACTAATAATGTTACATCTGCAGGCTGGGAATGAGGACAGATCTTCTTGTTCTGATGGTTAGATATTTGGGAGAGGCTCTGATGTTATGGCGATAGGGGCCATAGCAGTAACTAGTTACACAGCATAAAGTATTCAGCTGCTTTTGTTTTCAGTGGAACTGCATCCACTAATATAGGGTCAGATTTGACCTGATATATTCAAGCCGATGGAGCCCTAATACACTTCCCAGAATTCTGCATTTAATTTGCATTACAACCAATTTTCTTTTCCAGACAATGCTCAACTTATACAGGGAGGAACAAGGTTTAGAGGAACTTCTGTCAGCTGCCGAGCTTCAGTCTCTAATTATAGCGACGGCCTCACTCTGGGACCAGTGCAACCTTTCGTGGAAAGCACCCACAGGCCGTGTGCTTCGGACAATTTCAAAGGCCCAGACCAAAACTGCCATCATGTACCTACAAGGTTTGGTTTTTCCTGAGCACCCGTGGAATGAATTCCTCCAAGAAAAATCGCACTTGGCTCAGGTTTCATTTCTACATTCCCCCAAGAGTCAATCACTTGAAAATGCATGAACTTCTAGACTAGAGCTCAATTTAGTGCTGGTGGGAACCTGGGAACTGAAGTCCTTTATTTATGCATAGAACAGAAAGTTACAGGCAGCAGCATGTCATGTCCTGTCCCACTACCACCAAAGGTACCCAAGCCAAGAGATACATTAAAGAGTTACAAGTCACATGACCCCAGAGCCAATTTGCTTTTCTGGGGTTCCCCAGCATTCTAAATATTGCTCCCCTGATATTTGCATGGCACCTTGCTGAACTTTTGTCAGCTGCAGTGCCCAGTGCATTGGGGAATCCTGATTGGTTGACAGTGATAGTTTGGCTTCTTCCTAGAGGGAATTTTCCATTATATTAGGGGTGTTTTCATCTTTAAAAAAATGCAAAGATTACTTATCTCCACCCTGCAAAAGAAAAAAACAAGCAGGATAATTTATAATCAACATTCTGCCATCAGAACCTCCTCATAGGGTGTAAATGTGTTTTATTTTTTATGCAAAAGTCCCCAAACCTGGTTTCTTCATTCACACCACTTGTGAGATCAGGTCCTTGTGTAGTAAGAGGTAGTCCTGGCAGCAGGTGAGTTGTCTAAGAATTGCCAGCATGACCACACTTGGAAGCTGGGCTACTAGACTAAATGGAAAAGACCACTCAACAATGGTAGCTTCAGAGCAAAATGTATCCTCCTCCTCATTGTGCAAAACTATTAATCTCTATCTGAGAATATGTTATCATCTTAATACAAGATAATCTAATTATCCATCATCCATTTACCATGTATCAAAAGGGCTGGACTCACGGTATGTAGATTTCATTGGGGGCAGGTTTATGTTCATAAAGCTGCTTGCGTTTCTGTGGGTCAAACACAGAAATTTAATGGGAGTTGAGGAACGAATTTTTTTTTTTTTTGAATTTTTACTCTAATCTCTTAAACCAGCAGTGTATTCCTGTATTCTGTCCCCCACCTCCCCAAATCTCTTCTCCAGCGAAAAGAGGAATTAACTGCCCCGTTTGATTAGGAAATGTAATTTCAAGCATGTTGTTACATTTTGTCTGTGATTTTGCAGTTGTTTGTAACATCAGGCTGTCAATACTAACCATGTGCTGTCATTTATTCACAGCTGCGGACTGCATTAAGATAGCCATTCAGAATCTGTTCAAGTTGGCTGACACCTTGCCGGCTTCTGACATGTGTGAGGCAGTTAGCATCATCCTGTGTTTTGTGAAGGATTCCTATCCTATCTCCTCAGCTTTGCTTTTGGAGTTTGAAAATAATGATGGATACCAGCTCCTGGTAAAAATTTTACTGAGGTGAGTATGGAGTTTTCACTGGGTTTCTAGGGGATGATAAAGCATGGGTCTAATTAAATATAATTTTCAGAGGTGGTGATGGCTTGTTTTAAAATTTCAATTGCATTTTAGAAAGATCCAGGTAACATAGTGGGCAGCTGAAGCACTGAGGTGCTGGTAACAAAGGGTCTCATTTAGCAAACCACTAACAACACCGCACTGCTGTTTAAAGAGCAGAACCACAGCATAACTTCTCCCTTTGAAACCACAAGGGGAAGTGCCAATTGAAGAAGTTAGAGTAGAGGTGGGTTAGGGAATTACCTAAATTGAGACCCAGACCAGGTTTTGTTCATCAAACACTAGTATATGGATAATATCAGGAGAGACCTCAGCCGGACCCACTTTGCTCAGAAAGGCTCCCCTGGTCATGAACTCTTTATCCAGAGGAAGCATTTCACCTGATGGAGCAGATCTCTAAGTAAAAAGCTAAATCCAATGTGCATGTCTAGGATTAATATGCTCATACCTGGACAAGACCCATGGGTTACCCTGGGTAGAGCTGGGCAACATTTTTTGACCAAAACTTTTTTTGGTGAAAAATGCAGATTTGGCAACACTAAAACATTTCACAAAACGTTGATTTTGCCAAATTGTTTGTCAGGATAAAACCTTTTAAAAAAATTTTGGAAAAAAAAATGAAAATGTCATCAACATTTATGATACATTTTGATTTTTCTGTTCAAGATGAATTTTTCTTTTAAATTTCTCTCTTTTTTTACAATTTAAAAATGTAAAAAAAAAAAAAAGGCTCAAAACTGAAACAAAGTGTTTTGTTTCAGGTTGAAAGAAATGTTTATTTCAACCTGAAACAATTTTTTTTTTAAATGGGCTCCATAGATATTACTCAAAAAATAAATAAATAAATAAATTGCTTCAGAATTTCCACAAAACCAAAAAAAATCCATCATTTGCCCGCCTCTAATCTTGGGTCAAAACACAAAGCAGTTTTGTCTGCTATTTCCACTATTATTGCACTCTTTATTAAGACCCTGAGTTTACTACATCAACAGCCAGTGGAATAACCGTGAACCAGTTTCCCCAAAAGCATTGAGCAGTCTTGTTCCCACAGGTATAGTCCTCAAGTTAAGAGAGTCCCTCCAGACTTTACCATCCAGCATAGTTTCCACCATAGCTGCCAGCCTCTCCTCCCTCCCCCTCCCCTAGCCCCCCCCCTAGTGAAGGCCTTGTCTGCACCAGAAATACAGCTAGTCCAGGTAACTCTCCAGAAGAGTTCTGGTGCTATAACTTGTACCAGTTCCCCAAATAAAATAACTATGTCTATAGTAGGGCTTTTGCCAACCTAGCTAAATTGGTTAGGGGGGCAATTTTTTCACCTTCTTAACTGACTGAGCTCTACCAGCAGAAAAGCACAGACTAGCCCTGAGAGGCAGAAAAACCTGCATTTTCTAGGGCTCCAGACTCCTTCCCTTCCCAGCATTCTTTGCCAAACCGGGATTGACAGGCAGGCCTCCCAGCCTTTCCCCACTCTTTCAGTGAGTGAGCTTCCTGTATGCTGATATCCTGAACCTGTTCTGTGGGTAAGGACAAATCTTCCAGGTCCTGTTTCCCGCTTTTTTCTCTTAAAACCAGACACCAGTGTCATGCTGTCTGGACTGGCTCATGACCGTGAACGCCTATCTCAAAGCAGACTGTCAAAAACAGACCGACACCTCAAACCACTGGTGTGTCCTGTAGTTAGATTTCACTGAGCCAGTAACAAAGGTGAACTCCTGGATCATTGTAATAGTCTCACCATGGAGTCACAGATAGCCCCCTGAGACTCTCCAGTCTGTCTTGCCATGCAAGCAAGCTGGACTTAGTGACAAATAGTCACGTACACCAAAAATCACACACTATTCAGTTTGTTTCCAGTCCCAAGAGACCAGTCACTTACCCCACATCAATTGGTACCCTAGATCTTACACCAAAGGCAATGCTTGTATTCAATCCCATAATAAACTATCTAAAGGTTTATTAATTAGGAAAAAGAAATGAGGGTTATTTGCAGGTTAAAGCAAGCAAACATACTGTGGTGAACTGCATTCAATTAGGGTGAACTGCAAAGAATGGGGCAGATGTATTCAGGGTGTACCAGCATAGCTGGGACCTCAGTCTTGTGACTCAACTTCCCCCGATGAAGCTTAAGCAGATCTGAGATGACAGAATCAGGACCGAAGGATCTTTTATAAAATGTTATGTTCTCTTTGACAAGTTGAAGTTCCTCGGGGAACAAAGGTAATTTAGGATGACTTAGCGATACAAATTAACATAAGGACATTGGCTTGTTCCTCCACTATTCACAGATGATTTTCTATACATTTCAAAGAGAGATGAATACAGAGATATCCCATGTTTACAATTTATTTAAATTTTAGGATGTTCTTTTGATCTCTGAATTATCAGAATACAGCATAGACAGGGACTGTTGATTACATTGTAATACATACTCATACATATGTAAATACACAAAACACAACCATTACCTTCCCACATGTCACATGTCTTTAAGAGTCAAATTTGAGTAATTTATTTTGCAGGATGTTTAATCCTTTCTAGCCATGCATCACAGATACACACAAATGAGTTGCAATCTAAATCCTAAGAGTGACAGTGTTGTAGTGATCTGTCAATTCAAAGAGTCTTTCAGGGTAGACCCAGGAAGTAACCCCTGGGGATCTCTGGCTTCAGTTTGCTGTCTCTGACCCTGGGAGATTTCCTGTGTGTCTGTTTTTATTTCCTTCATTCAGCCCCCAAGTCCATAGGACGAGCTTCCTTGCACCTAGCATTTCCAAAGGGTGATGGAACCATTAACCAATCCTTTGTATTGCGATATTCCTTGATGACCTGTCTGATTTTGATAGTTCTTTTGGACAGGCAGGGGGAAACACTCTTCCCATCTGAGTTCACAAGTTTAGAGCAAACATTTTCAATGTTATAAAGCAAAACTTACATATTTCCTTACAGCATGGCATACAAACATTACAAATAAGATTAATACGTGTGGCCACTTATGAATGTTCTATAGAGTCTAAACACTAAATACATTCTTATAAAACCAATACCTATTTTGCGCAACACTAATACATAAGTGACCTGGTCTGGTCTCCAGCTATGAGTTCGTCTGTTCTTAGCTAATGCCTGCAGCCTTGGCAAGAGCTGCCACCCGGCCTGCCAGTGTCACAACCAGCTCCTCCCTACCCCCCATTGAAAACCCTAGAAGGGGAAAAGATGGTCTTGTATTCCCTGAGGATTTTCTAATTCCTAATGATAGCTTGTTCTGGCAAACATACCTGTGCACAAATAGGTTTGAGGAGAAAGATTGCACTAGTCCCAATCATAAGAGCACTGGACGTAATGACATGATATATGGCTGACTGCTTTTCACCACTTGCTCTTTCTCCCTTTGATCTAAGCTACTGCCAATCTGGGAGATGTTTGGAACCAGCCTATGGTTTAACAGAGACTTCAATGCACTATCCATGTGTCTAATCCCATATGGATAGCATACATCTCAGATTAAACAATGTCTTCCCCTTCCAGTGGGCCCATGGGTCTGTAAATCTCAGGCAGTTTTGTAGAAACTAAAGAATTGTATATGTTTATGGTTTATATTTTGCTAATTGTGTTTCCTTTTTTATTTTATTTTTAAGTACAGGGCTAACATTCTGAGTTGGATCTCTAGAGCTGTCTGAAATATTCTGAATTTTGATTTTTTTTTAATTATAAATTTGTTAATTTTGACCCAAAAAATCAGGATATATTTTTGGTGAAAAATTTCCCTTTTTCCAACTGGTGCTGTGGATTGCACTTCTAGTGGTACATGTAATGGGACTTAATTTCAATATTGGCTAGTCTCCTCTTGCAGTCGCTTATTGACCTCATCCCTTTAATTATCTGGTTCAGTTTGTAGTTCTTCCCCTGATCCAACTGTGGAGTTAGTCAAACTGTCAGATTGTCTGGAGAGCAATTCAGTTCAATCAGTCGTCCAATCAGTGCAACAGAAAGCATAACAGATTACTGTGGTGGAAGGATCCGGGGGGAGGGAGAAAAGTGAGAAATTGTTACTTCAGTATCTGGTGTCCCTGTAGAATGGGTTTATAAAAGGACCTGGTTATTGTAAATATTACTGAGCCACAAGCATATGACTACATACCCCGGCCTTTGTTTTTAGGTGGGAGGGATCTCCGCACAGTGAAGGAGACCACCATGTCGAAGAGGTGCTGGATCTACTGACTTGCCTCACAGTCTGTGGGAAAACTGAACTGAAAGTTTCTGGCAACATTACACATCCTCAGCTACCGCACTTTGATTTTGAACAGACACAATCCTCTGGTACTGTATATACACATACAAATATTAGTGTGGGCTTAGCATGGGAAAATAAATCATTATGCACAGCATGTGCATGACAGAGAAGAAAATGTACATGATCGCATGTGTTCACCTGCAGTGCTAAGGTTACATCTACATTGTGACCAGGGGTATGAATGGCAGCTCATGCCTGGTTTAATGGCTGCTAGTTTGCTAAAAATAGAAGTGAGAACTGTGTGATATGGGATTCCGCGTGGGTTGCACAAGCCTGCCTGACGCCCCCGGGGTACGTACATGCTTGTGCAGCTGGTGCTGAGGCCCGGGCACTGCATCCTCACTTTTATTTTTAGCAAGCTAACTAGAGTACAGCTAGCATGGGTACATCTGCACAAGCTGCCATTCACACTGCCAGCTGCAATGGAGAGGTGCCATAACCCACATGGCATGGATAACACAGTCAGTACAGCTGGCTGGCAAATGGGCAAAATATCATGTAAATGTTCAAAATCATTTACAATATTTCTTTAAAAAAAATCACTTTTGAAAACGTTCTTATTTCTAAGTCTTAATTGTACTGCCCCAAGGCATCCCAGTGGGGACTTATACAGATGTGTAAGTGTTTGCAAGATGCCGGGCCTAAAAGGATACATGGAAAATTTGATGAAAACTTAGCAAACCAACAATTTTTCATAAAAAAATGCTGACGTAAGAAAAGGGTAGCTTTGCAATGAAGATTTTCCATTCAAAACATTTCTATTGTCTCTAAACACAGTTTTTAACCTGTTCTGATTAGTAATCTGGTACTGCCTGTGGACCACCCACAAAGTCCCTGATCTGAACAGCTTACAGTCTAAATAGACAAGACATGCCCAGCGTGGAGGAAGGGGTAGAACCTACAGTGGGATCAGTGGGATGGTTTCCTAGCACCATGCTGGCATCACTATTTTTATTTTTGTTTAAATTTTGTGGAGTGGGGTTTGGTTGGGAGGGGACTAGCTAAGCTCAGAGGCCAGGGGAGGGAGGGAGTGGGACAGGGCAAGGGAAAAGAGGCTATGGATGGGAGGTGGAGTGAGACCGAGGTGCAGAGACTGGGAATTAGAAGGCAGGAGGGGCCAGGAGCAAACAGCAAGTCTGCACAGGACAGAGAATGTCTGGAGTCAGACCTGTAGAAAACACTTTCATGGCATCCGCCATGCCTGCCAGTCCTTCCTGCGGTACTCACTGAGGCTGCTCTTGTGCCTGCTTCTGCCAACTTCAGTTTCTCTGGCCCCTGGGGCCGGCTCCTCCCTGGAAATTTTTCTTCCCCAAGCCCACGTGGCTCAGGGGAGTTGGGGTACTGCATAAAGTTATGATGTGGGTCACCCCTGCAGAGTTCTGGGTCCTGAGGATGATCAGGAGAGGGGTGTTCCCACTTTTCCCCTGTTCCCCATTCTCCAATACTTGCTGAGATTGCATCTGTGTCTGACTTGTGCTCTTAGATATGCCTTAATAGTGCAGATAGGGCATCTGTATTGGGCTTGAGATAAGCGTGGTTAAAATGATCTGGCTTGATTTCTGTTTCTCAGGAATGACAGTGAAAAACCTCCAGGCTTTTCAGGTGTTGCAGTCCATCTTCCAGAAAACCAGCGATCTGCACCTCTGTAGGAGAATCTTACTGGCTATAAAAACCATGTGGGCCTGGGACACAATGAACTTCTTCTTCCTGGAATGGACGTTACAGCCCATCTCCCAGTTCACTGACATCATCCCCCTCAAACCGCACCTGGTTCAGATACAGTTCTTCCAGCTGGTGGAATCAGTGGTGCTAGAACTGTCCTACATCCCCCATGAAATCCTGAAGAAGGTTGAGTGTTTGATAAAGGAGAACTTGGTGCTGTCCTGCACCATAGCTGCTCTGCGGTGCCTTCACAGCATCACCAAGAGGGACTTGCTCTTCACTGACATATTTAGAGACTCTGGGCTCTTGGGCCAGCTGCTGACTCAGCTGAGGAAGCAAGCCAAGATCCTGAGGAAGACAGGTACAGCTTGTTTCATTGGCAAGGAGTGGTGGGGCAGGCAGAGTTGTAGGAAAGAGATCTACACTGAGTGTGTAGAGAGGCCAGTGTTACATGCCAAGGTGCTAGAGTTTGTATGGAAGCTGCCTGGCCCTGGCTTAAATTCCTGAGCTGCTGATGCCACACCAAATTAGTTCCCTCCTGAAATCTGACTTTCTCCAGTTCCACTCATCATATGATGCAGCTTATGGGGTATGAATCAATCACAGGACTTAACCTCTCTCAGCAGTTTTGTCTCCAGTGGCAGCCATTAAAAAGGGGGCCCAACTTACCAAAATTAGCATCTCACTTTGGGTTCCTTGGGAGCCCAACTTGAGAGCCTGGGCTTGACTTTCACAGGTGCTGACTATTCTTGTTTCCAGTTAAAGTCACTGGAAGCTGTAGCACTCAGCCCCTCTGAAAATCAGGCTCAGGTTATCTCATCGTGGGCACAGCAAGGTCCCCGGAACACCCACGGCCACTCCCAGAGTTTCTTCCTAGGCACAGTTTTATTTTCCAAACAGAGAGGAAAACAACATGGGCATGTCCTCGGCTCCCTGGGGGTTTTCCCCTCTGCTTCTCTCAGTCCTTCCTGCTTAGGGCTCACTGCAATACTCTATTGACTGAGCACTGCCTCCCAGGGCTCTCTCCCAGAAGCCCTTTTCCTCACTGCCCCTCCTCCCAGGGGACTGTGGCAGCCTCTCCAAGGGAACTTACTGCTGTTCCTGCTCCCGCTTCCTTACTGACTGCCTGGCTTTTTATAGCCCCTCTTAATTGGCCAAACTGGAAGCATCTGTTCTAGACAGGGGAGCCAGACCCTAGGTCCTCAAGGAGCTAATAGAGGAGGTATCTGAGCCTCTAGCTATTATCTT